TTAATGGTATTTTTAGGTCTTTCTTCAACCTCAAACAATGTATTCATTGTTATATTCAAGTTTTTATGTTCTAGATTTCACAACCATCATTTCCATGCTTTTAGGAAAAAAGTTCAACGCAGTGTCGATAATTGCAGAAGGAAGAAGTTGACGAATGATTGAGCTTATCTATAAGCTGCAAATTTAAGACATATTGGGTTAAATATACGAATAAGTGAAAATTGATAGAATTCGAGGGTCCACCAAACTCTATAGAGAACCAGGTTCTCTATAAGTTCCCACAGATATAAGTTCGCACAGAAACCATGCACACTGCAGTAGGTAAATGACAAGAGAAATTTTACGTGGAAAATTCCCAGCTCAACGGGATTAAAAATCACGACCTACCCTTGTAGGATTTCAACTTCACTATGAGCAACTTTTAGATTACAACCTATGTAACCTAGGAATTAACCTCTAAATCCCTCACTAACTTGTAACAACTCTATTACAAGCCACTTTGTAATAACTCTATTATAAAGACTTAATCTCTCACCAACTTGTAACAACTCTATTACAAGCTACTTTGTAATGACTCTATTACAAAGACTTCCAACTCGACTAAACTAGCCAAGACACAAACACAAGGGTTTATGATTTATAAAGGTTTTTCACACAATGCTTCTAACTAAGCGAAGTAGGAATTACAAGTAAAGAACTTTAACAAAGGTGCAACACAACTAAGGACATGTAATGACTCAATTCTGGAAACTGGTCCTTCGTTATGTTGCTCTTTGTTCTTGACGCCTTGAAGTTCATTTCCAGGTTGGCAATATACTTGAGAGAAAGCTTGATTGATTCTGAAGTATGCGAGTGTTGTTTTACCTTCCTTCATGTTAATATTGCATAAGTGACCTCACTTGAATGATGTAAGCATGTTTGGTACAAAGGCATTCCCCATAAAGTTGACTGCTCTACTGTTTACACTGTTGCATGTGTGCAGGGGAACAGTTGCAGTCGCTTTACAACTATGGGGAGTTGACTGGTACTGTCAGCAAGGGAACTGATATTTCCCCTGTTGTTTCTTGGACTCTGAAGAATTGAACCATGTCCCCGAACTGAGACTTGTTGTTCTTTAAGTACTTGAGGATGTGTATCGGGTTCCTTATCTAGTTCTTGTCATTAAGTTTGTTAGATCATCAAAACATAACAAAGTACATATAACCTATCAATTTCCCCCTTTTTGATGATGACAAACTTATAATTGAAATTCCCCCTAAGAACCAGAATGGCATACACATAACATGTATTCCCCCTGAATCTGTTCCCCAGCTTGTTCCCCCTCAATTAATCTTTACCCTTTTAGCATCATAAAAAGATCAGTAGCAAGTAATAAGCAAGAAGAAGTCTAGCTTGGTTAACTCATGCCACATGTGTGCACACAATCATGACTAAAAACAGAACAGAAGAACAAGATATGCACAACAAAAGGACGAGAAATTCATTAATTTTGGAAATAAATAGGGAGCAGTTCCATTGATACACAATCATCACAAAATAAAAACAACAAAAAGGTGCCAGTCATCAAACATAAAACACAGGAAACAAAAACAACTTGAACTTGAACTGACATTGGAAGGGAATGACTCTAAGGAGCACTGGAAGGGGAAGGCTTAGATGAAGAGGCAAGGGTGTTAAGAAGGATGTCCATTCGAGCATTAGCTGACATCTACTAATTGAGCAGTTTCTCCTTCAGGCCCTCAACCTGTTTCCTGAGGTCAGCATTTTCTTTGGTAAAACGGGCAACCTCTGTGCTGTGAGAGCTGCTGGAACCAGGTGCCTCCTGAAGCTGACTTAGCTGACTTTCAAGAATGGCATTCCTTGCCTTCAGTTTCCTTGTCTCATCAGTGGCACTGTTTTGGGCGTTGATCAACTGGGAGATAGTAAAAGTGCTGCCAACCCCTCCAGCCTTATCAATGCACTCACATTCCTCGAGGGTGGTCTTGGAGAAGGTTTGCTTACAAGTACCCACTTTAGCTTTTCCCAAAGGGACTTTGAAGAATTCAAAAACCTTAGTGAGGAGGAACCCATAAGGCAACCCATGATTTCCATCCTTAAACTCTGCCACCTTCTGCATGTGTTCTATCATGATGCCAGGCAGGTTGATAGTTGTGTAGCCATCCAATGCTTCCATGAGAACCAGGTCTTCTCGAGATGTAATTGACCTTCTCTCAGTACGAGGGAGCAAGACCTTGTTCACTAATTCAAACAAGAATTGGTACACTGGAAGGAGGGCCTTCTTGTGTACCCGTTCCCCTTGCTGAACTACCTTATCCTTCACAATAGCATTTCTAAAGTTTGAAGAACAAAAGCCTTGAACAGAAGACAACTCCTCAGTAGGCACACCCAGAATAGATCCCAGCACAACAGAGTCCATCACAAAATCGACCTCATTCACCATCATGCAAATATGATCATCCTTAACTGTGAAGAAATTCAACATAGAAACTGCGCACTTCTTCCTCATACACTTTGGGAGTGTCACCTGTGAACAAGTGCGTCCACTGTTGAAATTCACAAATCTCCACCAATTGTCGCATGCCAGCCATATCCAGAATATCAGGGGCAAAGGTTCTGCCCCAAAGAAACTTCTGTTTCCTCAGGTTTTCCCTTCCAACATCCTTGGTCATACTGACCTTGGCCTTTTTCAAGGAACCAGGTCCTTCACTTGCACTATCCTTCCTTTTCACATGATTTCTTTACACTGTTTCTTTTCTCAGCAGGTTTCCCATACACCTTCTCAGACAAGTTCTTACCAGACCCCTCAGCCACTTTTTCTTCAGAATTTTGAACCGTAGGTTTCTTGGAGGATTTAAGGATTCCTCATCCACCTCGTCATCAATGTCCACAACAAGAGCTGTAGGCATCACCTCTTCATGTACTAACTTTTCACCCGTAACTAACCTTCTCCTCTTCTTTTCTTTTTTGCTTTTCTTTAGAGCTGACTCAAGAACCTCCTTCTATTGCAGTCTTATAGTAGGTCTTTTAGGAGTGGGTGTTTTGGGAGTTGCCCTGCTATTCCTAGTACTAATAAAGCTTGCAATAGCCATATTATCATAGTCTTCTTCACTACCGTCATTCTCCTCCTCAGTCAGAGATCTCATCTCGGGAGCAATAATGGCCAATGGCTCAGCATAGAAGTGAAGAGAGGGAGCGAGATCAGTACTGACCCGGGGTTCTTTAGAAGAATAGGGAGTTTCATCCCAAGTAGGAGCATAGGGCTCCTCTTGTGTGAATGGATCAGGTCCCTCAGTAGGTTCCCCAGTAGTACTGTCTGGTGCCAGATTTTCAACAGGCACCAATACCCTTCCTTCTTTCAGTAGACAGTCACCTTCCTCCTGAGACCCATTCATTTCAGACACACCTTCATAACCACTATCTACACAACCCTCAACAGCGATTGACAACATATTCTCTATGGCCTCTTGTTCTTGCAAACCCAAAGTGAACTCAGAAGGCATAGGAAAAGCATTACCTATAGAATCGGTGACATTCAAATCAACCTCTGGGGTAGTTCTTGTTAATTCATCATTATTACGACCCATGCCTTGCTATATCTCAGAACTTTCTTCCACTGGCAGACTAGAAATTTCGTGATTTTCTTCTCCCTCAACAGTATCTTCTTCAACCATCTTTTTCGGCGAGGCAGAAGTAGAGGTCACAACCATAAATTTCTTGGGAGTCGATGGTTTGCGACTCCGATGAGAACCGAAACTCGACTGGGTTGGAGAGGAAGCAGAGGGTGGTTGTGACTCTAGCTTAGTGTTTGGACTAGTCGGAACAGGGAGTGTGGGCTCTATCACTGGTGTTTCAACGGATGAGGACACAATGGGGACAATGCTTGGAACATTCTGTGTTTCCTGATTGTTAGACATAGTGTAGTGTAGTCAGTTGAAGAAGAGAGTTTGAAGAAGGAAAAAGGGAATTTTGGATTCTTGATCTGAACAGTTCTGAAATGGATTTATTTAAGAGGGGTGAGAGACCGGTTGGGTATCAATTTTGGGTAGTCGGGTCGCTTCATAAAGGGTGAGACGCTTGGATTCAAGAAGCAACAAAAAGGGAACTAAAAACTTTAATGATGTGGCACCATTTCAGCCATTTAAAAAATTGTGCATGAGAGTACAGAGGAACTACTAACCTGTGTCAAGGAAACCAGGTTCCCTGATAGATTTTGCAAATATAAGCCTCATCCTTTGACCAATGTGCAATGCATTAGCTACTTGTTTGCTCTGTAATCGTCATGCGTGTCTACGTATAACGGTATAGAGATGAGTTAGACTTTGCCAGAAAATACTTTTTAGCTATTTTACATGTACATTTCTTCCATAGCCAATCATCGAGGGACCAGGTCCTCAGCTTAATCTCATCAACCCTAGTGCCAAGCGATTCTTTTCAAAATGCTCTATGCTTAGCGCTTTTCCTATCCACCATATACTCAGCATAGTCATTAGCATATCCTATTAAGTCAAGGTTATCTCCTGAGGGAAAGTAGAGAACCAGGTCCTGCATCCCTTTGAGATATCTTAGGATTCTCTTGGAAGCTTTCAGATGAGATTCCTTTGGATTGGATTGAAACCTGACACAAAGACCCACACTAAAAACAATATCTGGTCTACTACAGAAGTGACCCTATGATACCTCTATACATTGTCTGATTTACAGGGGAACCGGGTCATCCATGTCTAGACGAGTAGCTGTGGCGATGGGACTGTCAATGACTTTTGATGTCTCCATGTCAAATCTCTTCAACAGCTTCTTGATGTACTTTTGTTGACTTATTATTGTCTCCTTGGGAGATTGCTTCACTTGTAAATCTAAGAAGAAATTCAATTCCCCTATCATACTCATTTCTACCTCACTTCCCATGAGTCTTTCAAATTCTTCACATAGAGAGTCAACTGTTGCTCCAAAGATGATGTCATCAACATAGACTTGCACAATGAGCAGGTTCCTTCCTCGTTTCAAGCGCATTTCTTGCCTTTGATCTTGTTGTGAGATGGTCCAGGTATTTCTGAATGTGATTCTTTCTCTGCATGTGGGGTCCCTTGACCTGCATCAACAACTCTGTTTTCAGCTTCAGTTGTAGTGATTGAGGAACCGGGTTCCTCTATGTCAGTTGGAGATTCAGATGTGCCATTGTCATCTGAATCCTTGACCTGACTCATCATGTCAGTTTTTCCATTTTCCATGTCAATGACTTCACCAGGGACAATTGACCGTTCTCCCTCTTGATCAATCTTATCATGTGAATCCTTCCCACATGAGTGGTGAGATTCATCAAAGATCACATGTATACTTTCCTCAAAATATTGCATCGCACACTTTGTGATCCTTGAAGCTTGAGTTGGGCATGCCACGAACCAGGTCCTTATTGACCAGCAAAGTGAAACTTGTATAACCCAGCCTTCTATGTCATAGTTCAACATCATCCTCAACAGCACTCAGACATTTGAGATCACCACTCTTGTTTCCTATGTCACAGATTTGGGAGACACTTAACAAGCTGTACTTCAACCCATTCACGTAGTACACATTTTCAATTGAGTGAGAAGGAGACTTCCCAATTCTTCTAATTCCCAGAATGTATCCCTTTTTCCGTTTCCAAAGGATACACTCCCTCCTTGCAGGGCTTTGAGTGAAAGGAAATCATTTGTGTTTCCAGTCATGTGCTTCAACAACCACTATCTATGTACCCTTGTTGCCTGCTCCCTTTCACTTCTCCCTGCACAAGGAAATCAAGGGTTAGACTTAGGAACCCAAACAAGTTTGGGTCCCTTGTAGTGAGGAAAAGGTCGAATTAAACTTCTTTTTGTCTAGGCAGCAGTATATATTTTTTAACGGAGGGACCAGGTTCCTTAGCAGTAGTTACTTTCTTAGCAAAAACTTTATTTTTTTGTTGAGACTGAACCCTAGCCTTGCAGTTTTCCTTAAGGTGCCCATTGTTACCACAGTGAATACAAAGCCAATTATCGGGTATAGTATAGTAACATACTTGCTATGAGGGTTGTATGGAGTCTTTTCCCTTTGAAACCCAATTCCCTGCCTGTTTTCCCCATTGTTTATGTACATGGAAGTGATAGCATCAGAGGACCAGGTCCATTTGAGTGATTTTTCATGATCACTCTCGACTCTTCCTAGTTCTTCCTGAAGTTGTTTGTTCTTTTCAAGTTCAATACACACTCTAGACTTCACTGTCTTCATCTCATCTTCAATCCTAAGATGTGTTTCATTAGCAACTTCCTTACCTTTGTGAAGAGTCTCATGCCTACCCTCTACTTTCAATTCCTTAATTGTGTCATTCAGATCAACTACTACTGCTAGTAGGTCATCTCTCTCAAGCTCAGTATTAGCGACTCTTTTGGTCAAGACATCTTTTTTTTTTCAAAACTCTCAATAGTTTCCTTCAAATAAACCACCACTACTACTAGATCATCTCTCTCAAGTTCTAAGTTAGCAGCTTTTTCAATTAAAACTTCTTTCTCTTTCTTAGCACACTCAATAGTCTCTTTCAAATCTACCACAACGACTACTAGGTCATCTCTAGATTGTTCTGCTTCTCCTAATTCCACAATTAGAGCATTTTTATCATTTATAAGACTGTGGTATGCATCTATTAAAACATTTGCCAAAGACATGAGTTTTTTTGCAGAATAAGATTTCAGATTTCTCTGAACATCCAAAAAATTTACCTCATCATCGTCGTTGTCATCTTCATCATCATCAGACTGAGCCATCAAGGTAAAAATGGAGTCATACTCAGTTGCTTCACTTTCCACTGCCATCATAGAGCTTTCACCTTGCCCATCATCTTCTTCGGATTCGCTGAAAGAGTCTCCCCATGCAGAAAGAGCCTGTTGCACAATGTTATTAGCAACGTCTTTTCTTTTGAATCTTTTGTCAGGAACCTGGTTCCTCTTGGCTGCTTTGTTAGTGTTGTGTTTGTATTGATCTTGCTTGAGAAGAGGGCAATACTTGATGAAGTGTCCTGGCTTGCCGCACTTATGACATATGTCATAACCTTTTGGCTTGCTGGAACTGCCCCCTTTTGGAATGCCTCCATTTCTGTGAACCATTTTCTGAAACCTTTTTGTCAGGTAGGCCATATCAGCATCCTCACCACCTGAGTCATTGCTGTCCGTCTTGGGAACCGGTATCTTCTCTTTTTTCAGCTCTCTTCTCTCATTGTCCTTTTTCTTCATCATTTCATAAGTCTTCAGATTGCCAACAAGTTCGTCCATGGTCAGCTTCTGCAAATCTTTTGCTTCTGTGATAGCATTTACCTTACTTTCCCAAGAGCTGGGCAACACGTAGAGGATCTTTCTCACAAGCTTGTTTCTAGGAATGATTTCACCAAGAGAGTGAAGCTTATTGATGATAGAGGTGAAGCGAGTGTGCATGTCCTGAATGGACTCATCGTCCTTCATCCTGAATAGCTCATACTCAGTGGTTAGCATATCAATCTTCGACTGTTTGACATGAGTAGTCCCTTCGTGTTTTGTTTGGAGAGCCTCCCAGATCTCCTTGGCAGATTGGCAGGCAGAAATCCGATTATATTTGTCTAGTCCAATACCACAGATGAGGATCTTTTTTGCTCGGAAGTTCTTCTCTATAGCCTTTCTGTCAGCATCGTTGTATTCTTTCTTAGTCTTAGGAACTGACACTTCTGGTTCTCCAATGGTCTTCATAGGAACAAAAGGACCATCACAGATGACATCCCAAAGTTCTGAGTCTTCAGCCATGATAAAATCATGCATCCTTGTCTTTCACCATCTATAGTATTGTCCATTAAATCGTGGTGGTGTGTAGGTTGATTGACCTTCTTCAAAGTTTGGTGGAGCAGCCATGAGGATCCTTTTTAGGTGTTAGCCCGATAGAAAGAACCTACTATGATACCAATTGATAGAATTCGAGGGTCCACCAAACTCTATAGAGAACCAGGTTCTCTATAAGTTCCCACAGATATAAGTTCGCACAGAAACCACGCACACTGCAGTAGGTAAATGACAAGAGGAATTTTACGTGGAAAATTTCCAGCTCAACGGGATTAAAA